CCAGTTTTGTTTTACCATGTTTAGCTTTCTACCAGGTTAAGCTTTCTTTTTTCATACTTTTGTTATGCAGGCCAGGCGTAGTCACAAACGGAACCTCTCCATAATAAAGGCTCAGTCTTTTGTTATGCAGTCTATTCATAGTCTCAAGCCGCACCTTTAATTATTGGAAAGATGTGATTAACCATGCAAAAAAGATTTAACTACACTTATTTGAACCATCTTATTTGACAGAAAACTATTGCAGGTTACTGATGGACAGCCAGTTGTTTCACCAGGTTTAGCTTTCTACCAGGTTTAGCTTTCTTCTTTTTTCACACTTTTATTATGTAGGCTGGGCGTAGTCACAAACCGAACCTCTCCATAATAAAGGCTCAGTCTTTTGTTATGCAGTCTATTCATAGTCTCAAACCGCACCTTACCATAATAATAAAAAGTGGGCCATACCTGCCCCCCCCCCCTCTCAACCATTATATATACCAGGGGTCCTCAAACTACGGCCCGCGGGCCACATGCGGCCCGCCGAGGACATTTATCCGGCCCGCCGGGTGTTTTTGCCGCCGCTGCCTGTCTGTTACTTTTTTTCTACATGAGAAGGACGGTCATTGGTGGAAGAGGGAGAGGGGGCGGAGTTCCCCCCAATCAGACTGCATTGATGGGCAGTGCAGTCTGTATGTCTCTGTGTGGGAAAAGTTATTGCTGGTATATTGTTTTTGTAGCGCTGTATATATATTGGTATTTTACTAATAGCAATTTTGACTCCCTAGGAAACAATGATGTCAAGAAAGAGAAAAATTGACTCGGAGTGTAGGATATTCAAAGAACAGTGGACTTATGATTACTTTTTCATGCAGTGCAAGGAAAGAGCTGTGTGTCTGATATTCCAGAATATAGTGTCTGTGTTCAAAGAATACAATTTACGTCGACACTATGAAACTCAACATAAAAATAAATATGCTTGTTTGGTCGGAGAAGTGAGAAAAGATAAAATATTAAAACTGAAAAATACATTAACAACTCAGCAAAATACTTTTGTGAAGCAGAAGCAGCTAAATATTTCATCACTGCGAGCAAGTTTTCAAGTTGCCAAGCTAATAGCGTGCACTGGCAGACCATTCGTGGAGAGAGAATTTGTTAAAGAATGCCTTCTTTCTGTTGCCAAAGAGATGTGTCCAGAGAAGGCCGATTTATTTAGTACAGTGAGTCTTTTAGGACCTACAATTACACGGAGGATTGAAGAAATGGGAGAAATTTGCATCAGCATTTGCAAAACTCCACAAAAAAAACTTTCCTATTTTTCCTTGGCACTCGACGAAAGCAATGATGTTCGTGATTCTGCACAACTTCAAATTTTTATTCGTGGGACGAATGACTATTTCGAAGTCACAGAAGAGCTTGCTGCTCTGCAAAGCATCAAAGGAACAACTACAGGAGAGGATATCTTTCGATTTAAAGTTTTTGTGACTGCAGGGATTCATCTTCTTGGTTCTTTTGGTAAAGTCACATAGAAGGGAAGTAATAAAATAATTCTCACGACGTTTCGGCCACAACGCAAGCAGCCGTCCTCAGGTGAAAACCAGGTCTGTCGGGGAGACAGCGTCTGAATGAAACAGCACACGAGCTCGGAGCATATATAAGCTGGGTTGGAAGCGGGGGAAAGAGCGCCTTGACAAAAGAATTTGCATATCAAGAGGAATTTAGCATATTTATGGGAAATGCAGGAATGTGATTAGTACTACATATGCCCGTGCTGCATATGTAGTGCTAATAACATTCCTGCATTTCCCATAAATATGCTAAATTCCTCTTGATATGCAAATTCTTTTGTCAAGGCGCTCTTTCCCCCGTTTCCAACCCAGCTTATATATGCTCCAAGCTCGTGTGCTGTTTCATTCAGACGCTGTCTCCCCGACAGACCTGGTTTTCACCTGAGGACGGCTGCTTGCGTTGTGGCCGAAACGTCGTGAGAATTATTTTATTATGTTTTATTTTTATTATTTTATTACTTCCCTTCTACGTGACTTTACCGAAAGAACCAAGAAGAGAGGATATCTATGAAAAGGTTTGCCAAACTGTGAATGGTTTGGAGCTGAACTGGGCTAAACTAGCCAGTGTGACAACTGATGGTGCTCCTAGCATGGTGGGGTCTAAGAAAGGAGTAATTGCTCGCATTAACCAAGAGATGGACAAACATAACCATTCTCATCCAATAGCCATACATTGCCTCATCCACCAACAAGCGCTGTGTAGTAAATCACTGAAGTGGGACTCGGTTATGAAATTTGTGGTATCTTGTGTTAACTTCATTAGAGCTCATGCACTAAACCACAGACAATTTCAGGCATTTCTGTCTGAGCTAAATGTTGACTATGAAGATGTTCTGTATCACACAGAAGTCCGTTGGCTGAGTCGAGGGAGAGTTTTGAAACGTTTCTATGACTTACATCCACAGATTACAGCTTTTCTGCTTTAAAAAAACAAAGAAGTACCAGAGCTCAATGATGCAGAATGGAAATGGCACCTTGCCTTTCTGACAGATGTAACAGAGCTACTCAACAGTTTAAATGTGCAACTTCAAGGAAAGGGGAAGCTCATCTGTGATATGCAATCACATGTCAAAGCATTTGAAGTAAAATTAGGCCTCCTCATCAAACAAGTGAAGGAGGAAAACTTCTGCCATCTCCCCACAACTCAAAATCTGTTAGCGGAAAAACCATTGGTTGCATTCCCAAACAAAACGTGTGGATTCACTGGAAAAATTGCAAAAGGAGTTCCAATTTGGATTTAAAGAGCTTCATCTCCATGAACAGGACATACAGCATTTCCGTAACCCATTTTCTATTGACATTGAAAATGTGGATACAATTTACCAAATGGAACTGGCTGAACTGCAGAATTGTGACTCTCTGAAAGATGCATTCAAGTCAAGCAGCCTTCATAATTTCTATGCATCTCTCCCCTCTGAGACATATCCTCATCTCAGGAACCATGTACTCAAAATGGCAACCATCTTTGGCAGCACTTATGTCTGTGAACAGACTTTTTCCAGAATGAAACATTTGAAAACTCCAACCAGATCTAGACTAATGGATGCACACTTGCATCACTTGTTACGACTAGCAGTGACAAATATGGAACCGGACATTGACCATCTCATTAGCCAAAAGCAGGCCCATAGTTCCCATTGAAATACTGGGAAGTTTGTAGATTTAACTTTACTTCTTCATTTTAAATATTGTATTTGTTCCCGTTTTGTTTCTTCACTTCAAAATAAGATATATGCAGTGTGCATAGGAATTTGTTCATAGTTTTTTTTTAACTATAGTCCGGCCCTCCAACGGTCTGAGGGACAGTGAACTGGCCCCCTGTTTAAAAAGTTTGAGGACCCCTGATATATACGGAGTAGTATCTCCTGTAATCTCTCATTTACTTGATACAGCTGTCGGGCCGTGACGGTTCCACCTGAAGACGGAAGCTTGTGTTGCTTCCGAAACGTCGTGATTTATTTTATTCTACTTTGATTAATTTTAATGTTTTACCTACGTGATTTTACCGAAAAAACCTAAGAATTTGAATCTTTGCAATCACGAAAGCTTCAAATCTAGAAGTAGTTGTAATAACACTACGGTGTGGTAGTAACAGTAGTAGTTATATTAATTTTAATACTATGGTGTGGTAGTAACAGTAGTAGTGATACTGTACTAGTTATAATACTACGGTGTAGTAGTAACAGTAGTAGTTATGATAGTACTACGGTGTGGTAGTAACAGTAGTTATACTACGGTGTGGTAGTAACAGTAGTAGTGATAATAGTTATAATACTATTGTGTGGTAGTAACAGTAGTAGTTATAATACTATGGTGTGGTGGTAACAGTGGCAGTTCTAATACTACGGTGTGGTAGTAACAGTAGTTATGATACTACTGTGTGGTAGTAACAGACGTAGTTATAATATTACAGTGTGGTAGTAACAGTAGTAGTTATTATACTACGGTCTGGTAGTAACAGTAGTAGTGATACTATTTATAATACTATGGTGTGGTAGTAACATTATTAGTTATTATAGTTATAATACTACAGTGTGGTAGTAACAGTAGTAGTTATGATAGTTATAATACTATGGTGTGGTAGTAACCGTAGTAGTTATGATAGTTATAATACTACGGTGTGGTAGTAACAGTAGTAGTTATGATAGTTATAATGACACTACCACGAGGGGGCCGCTGCCAAACTCAGAACGCAGCCCCGCCAATGCCTCGAGCGGCATCGCGACAAGTCCACAGCGGTGGCTCTGTGCATCGAAATACAGACAGGGAATCACCACCACCACAACATCGCTGTCAACCCATACGGTTTAGCCGTATTCTTGTTCTGGGAAATTGAGTTTTCAAGTCCATGCGGTGTGTACAGGCGTTTCAATACGGGCAATACAAATGTGTCTATTTGTTTGTGTTTCTCCCTTGTGATGGGACTTTGTAGGTCTAAATTGGCACCCTAATAAGGTCGGGCACTGATAATTATTATGGGTTGACAGCTATGCCACACGCTCCCACTGATTGCTTTAAAGGCGAAGTTGATTGTCACTGCGGGGTCACCGAGGACAGAGTCGGTCCCCTCCTCAGCAGCAGGCCGCGTCTCTGGGGAGGTTTGGACCGCCGCGTTCCCACAGCAGCCATCGCAGCAACCAAAGTCGTGAACTTATTTCCCCTCAGGAGGGGGACGATGCCAACCCCAGCTGCTTGCGATGTTGATATCCCTGCCTGCGGCGAGTAGCGACTCGGCCACTGCGGGTTGGAGCGGGGTGCTGGCTAGGCGGCCACCACCGCAGTGGAAGAACGGATCAGTGGAGGTGCGACAAAGAGCTTCACGGCTCATCGGATTCCTCCAGGATGGATACAGATCCTGAACCCTTACACAGACTCGCACGCAGAGAGAGGCAGGCAGAGAGGAGTCGTGAGGTGGTGGATTGATCGTGCTGACAGAGGCGAGGGAGTCGCTCTCACCGACGTCTCCTCAGGGCTCCTCATCGCCGTCTTCTCCTCCCTCTCCCCTCCTTGCGCCGCCATTGCGGTTGCGAGTTTCCCGCCCTTTTTCCCGAACGCCCGCGTCGCGTGACGTCACTTGTTCACCGATGAGGTCGTGTACCCCGTGACGTCATTTCGTGACATCCTACAACAACTACGCGAAGCAAATGCAAATGTAGAGGATGTCTCAGCCATCCCATCGCTGTTAACCCATACGGTTTACTCCGTATTCTTGTACAGGGCAATTGAGTGTTGAGTTCCTTACGGCTTCCAGCCGTTTTATTGCGGGCAATAACAACAACATACGGCCAAATAAAAAAAAGTCGCGGGATAACTTTTTTTATTGGGGTCTTTCGGTAAAGTCACGTAGAACAAAAATAGAATAACAAAAAAACTTCATCAGGAAGAAATAAGTATAACCCGTAAAAACAAAGTTTTTCACTCTAAATCCTTTATATGCGTGGCGGCTAGAGTCCTCTCGTCCTCTGGCTTGAGATGGCTGCCACCTATGGGTCAGATGATTGTCTGCAGTATTAAACAATTGGTAATTAAATATTTAATTAGTTTTCCCTAAACAGTGTAAAATTTTGGAATTTTTTTTCACGAACATTAATTGTCTCGCACAACGGGTCTGTGTGTCAGCTCGATTGGATCACGGGAAGTGGGTTAAAAAACGACCGAAAGGTTTGCACGGTCGTAAGCAAGCAAGCACGCAAGCGAACTTAATATAAAGGATTTAAAAAGGAGGGGGAAAGCTGCTGAGGCAGGCTGTTTTAAATCGCTTTAAACTATTGTCATTGTATTGCGTATTTAATGTTGTGCTGCACTCTGTTGTCAGAAAAAACATGTATTAAAAAGTCTATTTTATTAAGTAGAACGTGTTGTCTATCTATATATATAAAATCGCAAATCTGTCTGTCTGTCTGTGTGTGTGTCTGTCTGTCTGTGTGTCGCCGGACCATACGCAGTTTCATTGGACGAAATGTGAGGGATTTGCGAGACACGATTGGTCCGTTTGGTTTTCCACGGCGGTTGCCCCTGGCAACGGGTAGCGACGCATTCGATGCGGGGTGGACGCCATTTTTAATTCCCGTTAAAAATATGCGCACGCATTAACACGCGACTCTGAGGTAAATTCATCTAGGTTTCACGTCCTCTTCACTCCCCCCCCCCCCACCCCAATGTGTGCAATTACTATTATAGAGTCGGTAGATAATAAAATTATAGCGATTAGACAGTATTATTGTAGCACGGGGGGGGGGGGGGGGGGTAACGGCCCCAGTACCCAGCCTCAGCCGGGTGGACAATTTAGGCGAGGCCGGAGGCTCTGCACGGTACTAGGCCTGGACACCCCACCACACTATAGGCCGTACATATTACTGCACAGCGGCCGAGGAGATCGTGGCTGGGGGGGGGGGCAGGGGTAGCAGCCCATCTGTGTATATATGTAAGGTTATTAAGAAATATATTTTTCACCCGGGCAACGCCGGGTACTTCTGCTAGTATTTATTTAAAGTTGCGCATTTTCTTGTGACGTCATATTTCTCAACCCCCCCCCCCCCCTGTCACACATCGTCACAAATGTCTGACCCCCCCCCCCCCTTAGGTGCGTGACGTCATTTATGGACGGTCCCCAAGGGTTATAAACGACGTGGGCGGGGCTAGTCGGAAGGCGACTTCCACACCGAGGGCGCGGAGGTGGCTATTGTAATGTGAGAGATTAGCATGTTAATGTAAGATCGCAACTCAGTTTGTAGACTCCAGGGTATTGTAAGTCAGGAATGACATCTTTTACAGATGGAATTCGATCACGGATTTTATGTACTGTACTGAATCGGACTTGAATCTTATGTTTGTTTAGAATTTTGGAGATCTTTTTGGCCACACCTGCTATGTATGGCAACGTGATAGTTTTGATCGGAGTTTCATGTGGCTGTTTCTGTATGGTGGGAGAAACAGCTTGGTGGATGGTACGGTCAGAGTATCCGTTCATCCTGAGGGCCCGATGTACATGTCTTAATTCACTGGCCAGGTGGTGTGGGTCAGAATTGCCATGAGCTCTGTGGTATAGCGTTTTGATGAGATAATTATTTTGAGATGGGTGGTGGTGGGAATCAGGTTTCAAGTAGGAATCTGTGTGGGTGGCTTTCCTGGAGACAGAATGTCCCAAGGATCCGTCAGGTCTCCTCTCAAACAGAATATCTAAGAATGGTAGTTTACCATCTTTCTCCACTTCCATGGTGAATCTGATGGATGGGTGTCTGGAATTGATGTGGTCCAAGAAGTGGTTCAATGCTTGGAGGCCATGTGGCCAAATGACGAAAGTGTCATCCACATACCTCTTCCACAGGGAAGGACGCAGGGTGGATGTCTGGATGGCGTCTGATTCAAACATTTCCATGAACATGTTGGCTATCACTGGTGACAAGGGGGAGCCCATAGGGGAACCCTCATTCTGTTTGTAGAAGGTGCCATTCCAGGTAAAATAAGTGTTGGTGAGGCAATGCCTAACCAGCGCAGGTACATCCGAATTCAATCCATGTTGGACCAAGCCCTCAATTATTGTTAGGGTGTCAGGTAGTGGGACATTGGTAAACAGAGATACTACATCAAAACTGACGAGGATATCATCAGGAAATAGTACCATGTCCTTGACCATAGATACTAATTGGGTTGAATTGAGTACTGCCGAAGAGGTTTTGCCTGTGAAGGGAAGCAGAGTATCTGATAGAAACCGGGCCAGTTTGTAGGTAGGAGAGTTGATCGTCGAAACGATGGGTCGTAGCGGGGTGCCTTCTTAATGGATCTTGGGAAGACCATAGAGTCTGGGAGGTCTTGCCGCTGATGGTTTTAGAGAGGGACGTTTGGTTGGTTCGATTAGGGAAGTCGAACTCGTGATGATTTTGTTAGTTTTTGTCGTTAGGCTGTTAGTAGGATCGTTTTTAATTTTGGAGTAACTCCCATCATTAAGTAGGTCCAGGATTTTGTTGTTGTATGAATCTTTATCCATGATGACCGTGGCATTGCCCTTATCTGCTGAGAGGATGACAATATCATCTCTCTTTTTTAGGTCCAGCGAGTTCAGAGCGTTCGTTTTTGCTAATGTTACTAGTGGGTTTCTTAGCATTCTTAAGAATAGTGGCTATTTCAGCTCTTGCTACATCCGCATGGATGTGTCATATGCCTCTGAGGGCGACATCAATCTGAGAAATCACATCTTCTACTGGTATCCCCATATGTGCATCCACATATCAAGAAAGCAGCAGCATGCAAGATCACAGACAGCAGCATAAACACATTCCTGCGGAGGGAGCTGGTAGGAACGTTGGGTTGCTCGGTCAATGGCCAGGGTCAATGGCGGCGTGGTGTATTCCGCAAATATGGTCGACTGTGAGTGTGGGCACAAGCCGGCGTGAGTAGGTTAAACGTTGAGTTTTATAAGGGCACCACGGGGTGACCAGCCCCTCCCCACCCAGCCCCACCCTCCCCACCCAGCCCCTCCCCACCCTCCCCTCCCCACCCAACCCCTCCCCACCCTTCCCTCTCCACCCAAACCCCATACCCTCCTATTTTTGGATGCACGACGGACGGACGGACACAATAATGGGCTGGTGTAACCAGGAGGTTCCTACCAGTATAAGCAACATCATTGACACTGTGATGGCTGACGTCCGCCCCACCGTTCTCGCTGGGCAGGTGGGGCGCAACGTTTGCCCCATCGACTTCCTCCTCCACTCCCTCCTTCACCGCGTCGATCGGCCCCCGCCGGGCCCCCGCCGACCGGGTGATCGGTCCCCCCGTGTTAGCGCCCCCTCTGAGGGACATCGCTAAATCGCTGGCCTACCGCCGCATGGGGTTATTCCACACACGCACACATGCTAACACTAATGCTACAGCGGCGGCGAGCATGCGCGCGCCCCTACAGGCGATCAATTTAACACACACGCGCGTGTGAACACGCGCGGGCATTGGAGAGCGGTTTTTACGCACCCCGCCCCCGCCCTAATATTCACGCGGCACGTCTGAATGGACGCGCGACCCTCGGCGGCCGTTTATATTTTTATTACACGCGCGCCTCACACACACACTCAAATTACCAACACCACGCCGAGGTTCCACCCACCCACACAGAAATCATACCGCACCGATACTCTGTAATTAAGTTTATTAATGGCGCAAATACACACTACCTGGGGGGAATATTTTGCGAGAAGAGCTTAGCCTAACAATGCCTGCGAACCCAGTCACGTCTTGCCACGTACCTCGAAGCTGTACTCATGGTGTCGCACGGACGCTGGGAGAGTCGGAGGGAGAAGGACGAGAGAAAACTTTACCTATCACTGCCTCGTAGCAGCACTCGCTGGCATCACATGGATGCTGCGAGTGGCTCGAGGAGGTAGGATGGTAAGGAGTCGGTCTTGATGACCCGGAGGTTGAGGACAAGAGCTCTAAAATCGTCCTGGGTTACTCTTTTTATTCTCTAAACTTCAAAGGCCCAGGGTGGCGTCGTACCACGCAGCCAATCGTGCGCTTACCTGCTCCATCGTCCCTCTCGACCGTCTCTACCATAACCTAATCCCCTCACTTCAAATGCCCGACCTGTGGTTGCCGCCACCCGTTACTGTGTCCTTGCTGTAGTCCGCAACGGCGGTCACCAGCCACGCATTGTCCCTCGTTGCCCATTGTCTGGAAGGGCGCTTGCGCTTTTCTTGCCTAATATTCCGCCCTCCATCCTCCCCCCAATGCTGTAACTCATTGCGGTTGGCCCAGGGAACCTTTTCTTTCTGCACCCATACAATTGTTGTGGTGCAAATGATGACGCGGAGGCAGGTGTTCAGGTAAGGGCTTGCGCCGGTTGTTTATTAAGGGTTTAGATACTTCCCCAGGGGTAGGGGTCCTATACTGGGTCCTTCACACGACCCTGCACTGTCTGCACTTCACTCGGCTAGCTCCAGGGCTCTCTCCCTCGAGTTGGATCGGGGGTTCAGCCAACACCGACCAACCGGGGAGAGCAGCACCTCTATGACTACCGCCGGCTTCTCTCCAGACTTCTTTATCT